AGTAGAAATCTTACTTTAATAAGGTTAATTAATTGGCATGCAAATCTTGAAAAGAATGTCTTTTGATTTAGTAATCCGGTAATTTCTGAATTCGTTAAGAAAACTGAGTTCTTGTAGTCATTTGATTCTTACAACATTCTCATGTGTAAGAAAATCATCATAACCTAAATCAATTAGGTCATCACCATAGTCTGTTTCATGAGAATATTGAGTTTCCTGATTTGAGTCTTGAGTGCTTGATTTCTTAGATCTAGTTTTAGAAATTTATTCATAAATTTCTAATAATTCTTTTGAATCCTTGCATTTTGATAACATTGAAATAATCCTTTGCTTTTCGGTTAAAAAATATGCCTACCATTCTTGTTCTTTCTTTGAGAATTTTGGAACTCTAAGATTTCTTTGTTCTTGAATCCATGATTGAACTGCTTTTGGACAACAATTTGTTTCCTTGAATTTAGACCACCATTTGACTTTGAATCTTCTGATAATCTTTTGAGTAAAGAATTCATCATTATGATTCTGAAGTAGAAAGAAATCCCAGCAAAAGATCCAGGATATTTTCATATTGAAGGCAAATTGAAACAAAACATTTTTTTGAGGCTTTAAAAATATTTTCGCCTCTTTTTTGAGGTATTCATATCCTTGAAAAGTAAGACTGGACAAAATTTTCCTTCAAGTCCATGATACAAAAACCAAGTTTGAAACCGTTTTGGAAAATGAGGATGACAATTTTGAATGAAAAGAATGAACCATGAATGTGTAATAGGTCTAAAGAAAAAGATTTTGTACCAAGCATTTAAATAGTTGAAATATTCAAAAGTTGAAAATTTTGTTGAAGAGAGCTTGAGTCTCTTTTCTTCCCATGGGTCTTGTCCCCAGTCTTCGTAGGACAATACCCTAAGGATACTGATTTTTGAATACATTGTCTTTGATTTATTTTGAGGATCTGAAGTATGAGAAATTATGGCTGATCTTGTTTTTGAAAGGATAGTTTCATAATAATCTCGGGATTTTTTGACATTTGACGGCATAAACCATAAATTTTTTGGAAAAATGTTCGAAAGACATTCATCCAAGTTTGAGTATCTATTAAGCCAAGATGTTTCCATATCAAGGCAATTTTCAAAGATACTTTTGATAAAATATTGAAAATTTTGATGTGGGTCTATTTGAGGAAGTTTTCCAGAACTTTGAACAGCTTTTTTGTAATTTGAAGGGGTTGCTTTTTCTTTGAGTTTATTTTGATCAGGTTTTTTGATGAGGGTAGAAAGGGTATTTGAAGATGATGAAGCATCTTGAGCTTCTTTTCCAGAAAGATCTTTTAAGAGATCATTAATTGAGAAAATTGAGTAGAATTTTTCTTTCTATTTTGTTTCTTCTTCTTCAACTTGCTTTGCCCTACTCATTTTCACTCTTTCTATGAATGAACTTTCTTGTAGAGAAGTCTGCTAAGAAGTTTGATTTCCCTTGTATATAAAGAATTTCAAAATCAAAATAGGACAAAATAGCCTGTCATCTTGCAAAGAGTTGTTTGGAAACAAGATTTTTCACATCTTTTTGTAAAACATCTTTTAAGGCTTTGCAATCAGTTTTCAAAATAATTTTTTTTGATAAGATCGTCTTGAAATTTTGAAATACACAGTACTATTGAAATAATTTCTTTTTGGATAGTAGAGTAATTCTTTTGAGGGCCGGTCCACACACCACTCTGATACCTAACTAACTGTTCTTGAGATGACTTTAGTGTGATTTGTTTTAACACACCACCATACCCAATATCCGATGCATCTGTTTCAATAATAATTGAGGCAGTGGGGTCAAGAATTGAAAGATAGGGAATATTTTTTTATCACTTTTTTGACCTTTTGAACTGCAATAGTGTGTTCGTGACTCCATGGGTCAGGATTCTTTTGTCATCTTTTGAATAATGGGGCACAGACTTGACATAAATTTTTGACAAAATCGGCTACATAGTTAACACAACCTAAAGCATTCCAAACTTGTTTTTTCAATGATTTCATCTGAAAATTTGTCAATGAAATCAAGACTCCTTTGAATTGGAGTTAAAGTATCATTATGAATGTAGTGTCCAAGAAAACAAATTTGAGATATTTTTCATATTTTTGGGAATCTTCTTGTGGTATTGAGTGTGGAAGTTTCTGAGTCTCTCTCTCTCTTTCAAGACTGTATGTCTCCATCCTTTCTTCTTCTTCGTGATTATTGTAATCCAGCCTAAATCCTCTGGTTTTCTGTGAATCTTTGTGTTGAGTCTCTGTGATTCTTCGTTCTTAGTTTAGAAGGATATTTTTGGGTTCTTAGAGAGATCTGGGTCCATCGAATAGCTGTCTCTATTTTCTTTGTTTTTGGTTGTGATTTGTGAACCCTCACATTGTACAGACGGGTACAACGCTTTGTTCTGAGTCCAAATCGATAAGAACTTGGTGCCTTTGTGTTGTCCGTGTTCTGAGATTTTAAGGTCGATTTTTGGGTCTTGATTTGTAACATTACCAATCAAGAAAAATAGAAGAAGATGAAAGAAAGGCACGATGTCGTATTCAATTTTGGTTTAATGTTGGTTAAATTTGATTAAATAAAATCATAAAAAGTGACTTCGTGTCAACTTTGGACAAATATTCGAACATGATCCGTAGTCAAATTATGAAAGTAAATAGATTATCTCTATTCTACTCTTCAAGTAGATAATCGTAGTATATTCGAAATTTCAAAACCAATTTTTGATGAATGAAAAATTATTTTCCAAATATAGGAGGAAATCTATAAAATCAACATACATAGGTGCTGCTCAACTGGAAATCTAGCGCCAGGCGAGCGCCAAACCACTACTTTGGGTGCTCAAGCGGCACACTCGAGTAGAGAAATGAAGAAAGCAAGTTGTTTCTTGTTGAGCTTTGAGGTTAGAGTTAAGCTTCCAAAGGTTATGAAATTGAGTTTTTTAAAGGTTTATTTTGATAGTATTTAATATAGTTTTAATTTGCAATTGAAGATATTTTATCTTAAAACATACTTTATAATGATTTTTCAAAAGGCCCCTTACTTTTGGTCTATTTGTCTATTGTAAATTATAGATATATCCTTAAAATCAGGAGTTTTTTGAAAATTCAAATGACAAGTGCTTTATAAGTAAAAAAGGATTCTAAAGTTGAGCGAGACTTTTTAATTAAAAAGAAGCATTGTATGTCACTTTTTTTTTTCTAATTAAAAAGTGACATTGTTTTAAATTAAATGTTACGTATGTCACTATTAATTAAAAAAAAAAAAAGACTACAATGTCACTTTCTCTGTCATTAAAGCTTAATTCACATTTAACATAATGCAAGTAAATGAACATTTAAGAGAAATACTTATAACTAGATTAAAAGTTTAGCAAAAATTGTATTGCTCAATTAGAAGTTGACTGCGCGAATCTAGTTAAAAAGTGACACAACATACTATGTTAGTTTTAATGTATTAAGCTAAGCCAAAAATTTATTTGTCCTTTCGTATGAATTAAGGTATTAGAATTTGAAAATGACACAACTACATCACTTTTGTTGAAGAAAGTCACATACTAGTTATCTCATTTGTGTTCTGTTTGGATTAATTAAAGAGATACATAGAACGTCTTTGTGAAAATATAAATATGAATATGAATACAAATTTTGTTTTACATTAAAAAGTGACATGATATAACCCCATATGAATTAACGTGCCGGATTTTAAAAGTGACTTATTGTCACTTTTTCTTAAAATGCGTCACAATATTTCATTTGCATTCTTTTTGCAGATATATATAAACTTAATGTTTTCATCTGTTATGGAAGTAAATTTCATTTTCTGAAGGAGTTAACTGTTAAAAAGTATCATGTCATTTTTTGATTATATCATGTCACTTTTGAGTACAATTACTACTATAGACATTTTTAGCATTGCTGTTTTAAGTTCTTACCAAAAAAAAAAAAAAAAAAAAAAACATTGCATTCTTGTTATTTGCATGCAATCTCATCAATAAAACAAACTAATGTATCCTGATTTAAGGAATATGTTTCTTCACTCGTCGAATAAGGTTTTTGTTATCTTTCGAAGTCTATTCATGACAAAATTTAAAGTACATCTTTCAAATTTAAAATTGATAACGAAGAGTTCATAATAACAAGAACAAAGTGGTCACAAGAAATGAACTTAATAAGTTGTTATAAACTTCATAATTTTTACATTGATATAAATATGGAAAAGAAATAAGAAGAAAAATTAATAATCATGTTTTTACGTTCAATAATCCATGCAAGATAATTTCAATATTTAATCATCTTTCATAACATCTACTCATGGTTGTGTTGCAAACTTCTAATAGATTTTTGAATTGCTCAAAATGGATAACCATAGCATAATATATAGCATCCAACATAATCTTTTTAATAATAAATTTTAATAAGTGAAAAACTTTAGATAGGAGAGGAGGTTCCGCTTGGTTTTGATGAATTTGACTATATTAAGAGTATGGAGACTAAATACATAGTTAGGTACAAGTATATTATTCTGATTATTTTCTTTTTTTTAAAGTGTTGGGCCTAATTATCCCTTTGTCGAACTACTTTGGATCGTTTTGTCAGATAAAAACCAAGTATAAGAGGATCATGTATGAGGAAATTGGGCCCATTACTCTAAAAAATGAACGAATTAGATTAATACACTTTAACAAAATTAAAATCTCTAATAACTGTAAATAATACATCCCCAAAATCCCAAAAGCGCCAAACCAATATATTACAAATAGAAATCCTCAAACCATCCTAAAACCAAGATTCCGTCATTCTTGATAGGTGGGTTGGAGTGCTAGAGACTTTTGAGATGGTGCTAGTGTTATTTTCTTGGTATCTTGAATTGTAGTTGGTGTTGGAAGGCTCGAGACAATCGATGTAGGTACTAGTGCATGATGATGCTTGTGCCTTTATCTGTGCGTGTGCCTATGCTTGTGCTTCCTTTTTTTTTTTTTTTTGTGCATGCCAAGTGATGGTGGAGGTGAGAGAACCAAATCTAGTGCTGGGGTTGGTGATACAATAGGTGGTGGTAGTGCTGGCATTGGCGTTGGTAGTGCTGTAGGCGGTGGAATTGGTAGGGATATTGTAGATGTAGGAGCATGTGCCATTATTGCTCAAACTGGGGTTGTTGGTGGCTATTGGATAGGTGTAGGGGATGCCTGTGGTAGAGGTGTAGTCAATGGAAGTGCTAATGGTGAAACCACTAATGGTGGAGGTACAGTCGGTAGAAGTACTAGTGGTGGAGATGGCAATGCTGGTGGTTGGGATGGACTTCGTACTGGATTTGGCGGAGGTTGTCGTGTGGGACTTGAGGTGGCTGATTGGTTGGGTTGGAAGTTGGTGTAGCTATAGCTGTAGGTGATGATGACATTATTGGGATGATTAACGGAGTTGCAACACTTGAAGCTTGTTGTGCTACTTTTTTAAGGACTTTTTTTTTTACCGCATCTACCTACTATATATAATGTTCTTATACCTAATACTTGATGTCTGTGTTTGGCATTGTATCTCTAATTGCGGATGATAGTGGCCAATTTTATGGCTTAAGACTTTGAAAAAAATAAAAAATCAGTCAACATTATGGAGCCTTCATTTGCTCTGCAAGTGAGGACAGGTAGTGCAATTGGTGCCAGCAACTCACTACCAAATGAGTTGATCAGCTATTATAATGTAAGAATAGAAATCCCTTGATAGAAGAATTTCGACTTGTTATACGTCAAAGTTGAACTAGCATAGCTACAAGCAGGATGCAAATACTACTGCAAATAAATGTTCAAATGGCTTGAGGTGCGTGGAAAGTAAAAAATTGCTTTTATATTAGGATGATTTCTTATCTTGCATGAATATGTTTATAGACGAATATTTGTCAATGAGAAAATCACCACCAAACTATTTTGTTATTTTTTTTTTAATTTCTGTCACTTTTTTTTCTCACTTTTTTAATTTGTGTAACTTTTATAAAAAGTTGTGCCACTTTTTAAAATCTCCACTTTTTTTTTAAATTACTGTTACTTTTTTGAAATTTTGTCACTTTTTTTGAATTTTTGTCACTTTTTTAGTATTTGTCACATTTCCAATCACCTTCTTGATTTCTACCACCTTTTTTTAGTGACAATTTTTTAATATAAGTGACATTGTATGTCATTTCTTAATAAAAAAAAGTGACACATAACTTTTAAAAGTGGTATTGGGTCACTTTTTTAAATTTAATAAAAAAAGTGACATTGTGTCACTTTTTAATATTACAGTATTTTTTACTTCAAAAAAAGTTTTCATATGGTTTTTCAAATATGCTCCTAAATTTAAGGATATTTGTAGAAATTACATAATACTAGGTCTTTAAAAATTACGATTAAAAAATCAAGTTAAAAGTTTTATTATTCGCAAATCAAAAATTATATATAATTAATCTACCCAATTCAATTAAAAACCCTAATCATTTCACCCATTTTCAATCCCATCTCTTCCTTCTCTCTTCTTAATACCGACAACCCATTCAAACATTGCAACGACGATGCCGACACCTGCGTGGGGAGATGGTGCTACTGTGGACGCAGTTTTGCGATGTTGCAGTTCTTTTTCTATTTTTCGATTTGTAGATGTAGTTTGGGCCCATCCCTACCTTCTCTATTTTCGACGTAGTGACCCATTCAAGCCTGGCAACCAGTGCAAAGGAGATGAGCCGGTATTAGTGTAGGGGAGGTGACGTATCGCAGTAGCGCGAAGCTACAATTTCAATATGCATTTTTTGAAGGTCTTTTGGGTTTTTCGATTTGGCAGCGATGGGGATCTAAAAACAATTTTGGTTGGAGGCACTAGTGAGGTTTTAAAGGTGATAATGGCGGTGGCAGTCAACGATGGTGATGTGGTGGCAAAACTGCAGCATCTTCTCTATGCAACGTGGATGTGGGTGGTGTTGGTGATGCTGTGGGTTGACGATGTGGTGATGGTGGTATGGGAGATCTGGTAGGACGGCGGTGGTGGTGATGGTAGTGGCGATGCTCATGTTGGCAATGGTGATTTGGGTGGTGTTGGTGACATTGGGAGATGGTATATTATTGGGTGTGTTTGGTGGTGGTATTGGTATTGGTGCCTGTGGTGGTTTCTGGTGGTGGTTATGTTGGGGGTGGAGACTCCGGTGAGGTTGTGGGTTAGGTATTGTTGTTTTGGTTTCTGGTGACAGTCGGGGATTTATGTTGTGGGTATGACGAGCAGTGAGCTGTTTGCTACCGTGAATTTGATTTTGTGGTGGTTGTATGGTAGTTTTGGTTGTGTGTTTTGCTGGTAATAGTGGTGTTGGCTTTGGATGTAAGGTTGCGGTGACAATTGTAGTGCCAATTGTGGGATGAGGTTGTAGTGTGGTGGTGCAAGCGATGGTTGTGTGGTGGTGATTTGTGACCAAGATTGGTCCTTGATCGGGACCGGTGGTGGGGGTGTTTGGTGCATGTGACCATTTGGATAAATTATTAATCAATAACATTAAAATTCGATAATTTGTGACTAAAAAATAATTTGTGGCCAATAAATTTGAAAATATGTGACCCATAGATAAACTATAACCTTTAATTTGAGCAATCTGTGACCTACAAAATTTTTGATTTGTGATCAAAAATAATCCATGACTAATTAATTTGATGATATGTGATCTATAATTATGAATCTATGAACATTAATTGTATAATGTGACTTTATTATATTAATTTAATAAATTTTTTAATTAATTAAATATATACCTGAATTTTCAATTTTCAAACTATCTACCTAATTTTTGAATTGGTGTAAATAATACACTTGAATCATGAAATTTTTCCAGAATATTTTTGTAAGTTGCCCATCATGTATTAGGCCGCGCAATCTGCAAAGGCCCAATTTTTTAGGCCCATGAATCACGCAAACCTCTTTTTAATTCTTTTTATTAATTTAAAAAAAATGATAATAAATGAAACCACTAGGGCAAGACTAGTGAAAAGTATAGGGGAATGAGTTGGAATGGCCACCACTCAAGACAAATTTGTTCATAAGGCCTTTGACCGAAAATAAAAAGTAAAAGAAATCTTAATTATTCAAAACTATCAAAAGACCCTTTTATCCTATCTTGTAAAATGAAAATGAAAATTATTTGTGGAAGTTTTCATACTATTTTTTGTTGAATGTTAGGTGTGATTAATTAGCTATTGAAAGTAGGGTTTTTTCTTGCTTTCAATCAAGTTGATTATATTACTCCGTATTCTATATATTTGAATTTTGCTAATTTGTTCAGTTAATTATATATTTTTCTATATTATATTATTCATGTTTAACAAACAATTGAACAAAATTTGATCATTTGGTCCTGTGATTTATTAACTACATACTTGTAAAAATGAGCTTAGTCGTGTGGATAATTGTTAAGTGGATATTAGAGTAATTGTTACATTTTAGGGAATTATTTGCAAGACAAACTAGCATTAGAGGCTCCTATTTGAATCTTCAATTAGTTCCTCTGCTTCTAGGCTACACTACAAGTGATGTAATATTTAAGTTTCCGCTAAATCTTCTAAGATGTTGCCAAAAGTGTTCTATGAACTTTGCATCTCGAACCAAAATAATATGTGGAAATCCATATAGACAAATTGTTTTCTAAAAGTCCTTGTGATGGAGATTACATTCCTAAGAATGTGTTGATCCTCGGCAATTATTTTGACTAGTCTGTTTACTTAAAATATTTTACTGCACCATACCTTTAGATTTGTTGGTAGGTTGCGTCCAACTAGAGATTGTCTTGCTCCAACTAGAGATTATCTTGCACCATACCATAAACCCCCTTTTCTACCATCCACATACATTGTCAAAGATCTTCTAGATTGAAAAATCAAACTCGATCTTATGTCTAGTTAAATGGTAAAGACTGATAAGATGAAGAGATGTCATATACTCATTACTCTTGTTTGTACCAATTTAATTTAGTGCATCTCTGAAACACATTCATTTGCCCCTTTGTATGAAATTAGTATTTTCTGCACACAAAAGTTTCTTTGAATGTTTGGCTTTCTGCACTCCTCGGTCCAAATTTTGATTTGCCTTATTGAGCACACTGCTCTTCAAAATTCTTCCTCCATTGAACTGTACCTCCTTTTAATTTTATCTTCATGATTATCATTCTATTTGAACTACTCAATTGAAGTAACATCACTAAGTTGAGGCTCATTCTAAATTACAAAGTCAAGCTCTGAATTTGTGAATGCATTTGAAACTAAGTTTACAAAGTTGCATCAGATTAAATATTTGCAATATCATCAAGTAATGTCATTTTTTTTTTTTGCCTATTCTTCTTGTAAGAGTTTTCTAAGTTCACATTGATCTTTCAAATAAGAAGTACTTATTCATCATTACAAGCCCTTATCATAATCCAGTTATTCCCTTGATTTATCTTCGGTTTATTACTAAACTTATTAATTAAAATGTTAATCATCATTTTCCTAAAATACATTTGGGGAAAACAGAGAGATTTGAAGAGTTGGGTAACATATACCTTGTTTTAATAATTATAATTATTATATTTGTTATTATGTGCTTTACTCCCATCAATTGTTCTAATATTTGTATATATTTTATAATTTGCTATGCTATGGAGAACATTCTTCAAGAAGATGATACAATTACAACAAGATGCAGATTGCAAATAGTGCGAAATATTTATGAGAAGTTAGATACAAATTACAAAAACAAGTTTCGTAAGATGAAGACCAACAAAAAAAGAAGTATGGTTTAAAATATGAGAGAAATGGGCAACATTTGGGTTGGAAAAATTTGTTTTAGTAACGGGCTTAAATTCTAGTAATGATAAAAACGTAGGTAAGACCTTGGAGGTGGAGTGTCAGATCTTGAAAGAGTATTTTAAGAAAAGTAACTTGGAGTAAAAAACAATTTTGAAGATAGCATAATAGACCTATTGCCCAAATGTGTATAAGAGTTTAGAGTGACTTGAGGTTCTCTTTAATTATTTTCCCAAATATGTATGTGAGTTGAAAGTAACTTGGGACTTATTTTGTTTAACTCTTTCTAAATTTGCTATCTTCTATGTTATGAGAAAAAAATAAGAGTTTTTGCTTAGAATTGGACTCGATTCCTCTTATTAAACTATCAAGTAAGGCGTGAAATGAAGAATAATCTTTCATGATGATTTCACATTTGATTAAAAAGCTAGTAATTTGATTTATATAGCACATGCAGTTGTTTTTATGTGCTTTACTACCATTGATTCGCACTTCAAATCAATCTTGAGAAATGGATAATTTTTAAGTTTAATAGTATGAAGAGTCACATTCGTCAAGTTTTGAAAGCTTACATTCTGACCTTACAGGAGTTATTTTTTGGGTAATTAGCACAAAACGTCCCTACCTTTCGTTGTTTTTTGTGGAAAAAGTTCACACCTTTCGTTTTTTGATGGATTATACCCTCACCTTTACCTTTTTTGCACAAAACGTCCTACTTTCGTTAAAATGCTCCGTTAAATCAAAAGGTAATTAGCACAAAAGGTCCTACCTTTCAATGTTATTGCGCAAAATGTCCATACCTTTCATTTTTTAGGATAATTAGAACAAAAGGTCCATACCTTTCAATGTTATTGTGCAAAACGTCCCTACTTTTTATTTTTTAGCTTTTTCACCCCTACCTTTCACATTTCATTGCGCAAAAGGTCATTTTCATCCATTTTTTTCAATAAAATGACAATTTTACCTTCCTATTCAAATAAAACAAAACAAAGAAAAGAAAAATAATTAATTAATTCCAATTATAGTCTTAAATCTTTCAAAATATTATAGATAAATCATAAATTCTCCACTACCGCCACTTTCACAATCCCACCAAACCACCACCTATAGATTCATATAGCACCACCTTTCGACCACAACACCTATCGGACTCCACCACCACTAGCCTCGCCCCACTCTCCCCAATATCCTTCTCCATAGTATTGGTCACGAATCTGTCTGAAACAACCACATTTACGGTGATGGAGTCTGATGGGCAGGGTGGTCGAAAGGTGGTGTTATGTTAATTTATAGTTGGCAGCTTGATAGGTTGTGAAAGTAGTGGTGGTTGATAATTTATGATTTCTTTGTAATTTTTTAAAAATTTAAAGACTATGGTTGCAGTTAGTAATTCATCTTTTTTTTGTTTTATTTGAATATGAGGGTAAAATCGTCATTTTATGGAAATTTTTTTTTATGAGAATGACCTTTTTTGCAATGAAAGGTGAAAGGTATGGGTGAAAATGCTAAAAAATGAAAGGTATGGACATTTTGCACAATAATATTGAAAGATAGGGGCCTTTTGTGCTAATTACCTTTTGATTTAACGAAGTATTTTAACAGGAAATTGACAGAACGATGTTTTGTGCAAAAAAGGTAAAGGTGAGGGTGTAATCATCAAAAAACGAAAGGTATGGACGTTTCCCACAAAAAACATCGAAAGGTAGGGACGTTTTGTGCTAATTACCCTTATTTTCTTGTTGATAAAAGTGCAGATTGCAAGTGATAAAAAATATAGCATGGAAGAGTTCAAAATTTATGAATGTAAAAGATGTTGCTCAACAAAGAAATGGGTAGGGTTGACTACCTTCACATTTTTTAGAACTAATAATGATATACACTTCATTCTTGTGATACTGAAAATATTAATGTCATTTTAATACAAAAATGCAATATTCTAATAACGATATTGAAATCCTTCATAAAGTACAAAACGATATAAATGTCGTTCCAATTTGAAAAGTTCACAGATTAACATAACGATATTGAAATCATTCTCGTAACAAAAAAGATTTTGTTTTATTATAAAACACACATTGCATCACTGATTTTCGTAACGACATAGAAGTCACTATGGCTATATTAAACGACATCAAAGTCATTCTTCAAGCAAGGCACATGCCCAATATATGCTAAGGCGCGTGCCTGTTGTAATTTGTTATTCTCAGTACTTCTT